CCACGTCCACTGTTCTAGTTTTGGTTTTCATTCCCTCTTTCCTCCACTTTCCTAACTGGTCTCTTGCCCTTCAGTCTGTTCTATTGGCTGTTAAAAACACATTTTCCTAATGTGTTCTTGCCTACTTAAAACCAAAACACAACACAACAAAAGAAATAACAAAATGGCTCTCCAATTCCTTTTATATCAAATTCAAACTTCTTACCCTCTATGTGGCTCTGAATAACCTCTTAAACCTTAATTAATTAATTGTTCAACTTATTCATTCAACAAACATTTTTGGGACTCTACTGTATACCTAGCCCAGTGCCAGTCACGAGAAATACAAACACAAATATGACATAGTGCCTGTCTTTGAGGAGGTCTCTGGATTTATGGTGGTGGGGGATGTTCCAGGGATAGCTTCTGGGGTTCTTTAAAAGCCTAAAATTATATGTGAAATTTTCTGCAAAAGAGAATTTTTCTGGGCAAGGATCCATAGCTTTCATCTGATTCTCAGAAAAATCTATGATCCAAAAATATTGAAAAATCATTAGTCTAAATTACTCTATAACTCAATCATGGGGCCTTCCACACCATAGTCCTTTTTGAGGGAAAACACTTCACTTACAGCCTCTGTTGGAGGAGCAGCCGAGGTGGCCAGGTTTTGCATGATTTGACCCTGTGTCCACTGTCACAGCTGACTGGGTTGAAGTTAGCTTTGGACTGAAGCACTGCCAATCCACAGGATGGCCAACAGAGGATGTTTCACGACATGACGATAAGTTAGGGCCAATCAACTTCTTGTTTTTGGGAAAGTGAAAATAGACACAGATAGAGAATCAGGCATTTAGAAGAGGTGAAGCTGAACATTTGCATAGAGAGAACCGTGAAATCATGGCAAATAAAAGTTATGAAGAAGACACCATGAGTAAGTGGAAGCTATGAAATTTGCAAGAAATACATAAAAGAGAGGGGAAAATAAGCCAAATGTTAACTGGAAATAAAAGAAGAGGCTACTTGGCTATTAGCTGAGTTTGTAAACGGTGGAGAACTGGGAGTAAAGATCCTACAGTCCGACTTTAGTAGTGTTTTTGCTCTTTCTGAACCCAGTTGTTTAGTTTTCCTGATTTTCTCTAAGTCCTTTATTCTTTCAATAACTCCTCAGCCCCTAGAGGTAGCTTGAGTGAAACCAGAGAAAGGAGCTAAACCAGGTAAGTGTGAAGTGTCCAGAACCAGGCTGGGGGATCCACCCTACCCAGTGAGGGCTGTCTGAGATGGCACCTCCCCAGGGGCATGCTGAAAGGGGTTCATCACTAGCTTATCAGCCAAAGGAGGGAGAGTTCAGGAAAGGTAGTGGGCAAGGGCAGATTTGGCAAAGTAGGTAAACAATGAGTCAAAGTGAAGGCTGAAGCAGGCTAAGAACTGAGGATGAGTGAGAGCTGGTAAATTGATAGCAAGAGCCAGAAACAAGGTACAGAGAGTGGGAGGGCTGTTTGGAAAATAAATGTGGAAACTTCCATAGTCTGGAACAATTCTCATGTGCAACCTGATCTCTATATAGGGTTGTGTTGGTTCTTAGACACAACAGAGTATGACAAATATAATAATAGGGTGTGACCAAGGTACAATGACAATGCCGGGAAGAAAATGAGTGGTTCACTTGGGGGAAAATTGTCATAAAGTGATGCCTGAGTTGGGAATTGAAGGGTAAATAAGAATTAATGAGGTAGATAGGTATGGTGGTGAAGCAAGGTGAAGTCAGGGAGTATAGCACGGTATTTATGGCCCAGACTCTGCCACTAGACTGGGGTTCAAATCCCAGTGCCACAGCATATTAGCTGTATGAGCTCTGGCAAATTTATCTACTCTGTGCCTCAGCTTCCCCATCTGTAAAATGGAGAAAATAGTAGTTGTTGTGAGGATTAAGAGTTAATTCATGGCCGGGCGCGGTGGCTCACGCCTGTAATCCTAGCTCTCTGGGAGGCCGAGACGGGCGGATTGTTTGAGCTCAGGAGTTCGAAACCAGCCTGAGCAAGAGCGAGACCCCGTCTCTACTAAAAATAGAAAGAAATTAATCGGACAACTAAAAATATATAGGAAAAATTAGCCAGGCATGGTGGCACACGCCTGTAGTCCCAGCTACCCGGGAGGCTGAGGCAGTAATGCCATGGTACTCTAGCCCAGGCAACACAGCGAGACTCTGTCTCAAAAAAAAAAAAAAAAAAAAAAAAAAAAGAGTTAATTCATGTAAAACATCTAGGACTCAGAGAAGCGTCTTCAGAGGAAGTTTTACATAACGGCTTGTGCAAAAGTATGGGGGGATGAAACATTGTGTGTTCTCAGTACTTGCAGGTGGTTCAGTAGTACCAGACTTTAGGGTATGAGGTGAGGGTAAGTGTGAGGCAGAAGCTGTGGGATATGCGACTGGAGAGATAAGGGTCACATCATTAAGAGCTGTACTTGGAAACTTGGATTGTAATCTAGGGGTTAGCTATTAAGAACTACTGGAGATTTTTAAGTGGGAGAGTGATACAATCCCCCTCACTTTTGGAAGTGCAGAAAATGTTCTAGAGAGGAGAGAAACTAGAGACAAAAGATAATAACCAAGGTGGGATGGCCATGGAGTTGGGGAAAGGGAACAGCCACGTACTGAGAAGGCAAAAACAACCTAACTTGGCTGCTGTTTGGTTGTGGGGGGTTAGAGAGAAGAAGGCATCAAGGGTGAATTCTAAAACTTTGGCTTCGTAACCGGGTGAGTGGTGGTACCATCCTCAAGATAGAGAATACAAAGTGAGTAACATTTTGGGGGGCTTAGGGGAAGACCATGGTTCAATATTGATCATATTGAGTCTAAGGTAAGTGGGACGATTTGATGCTGGAGGAATTAAGCTTGTCCGGTATCCACCTCGTGTTCAACTGTAGCCCCTGGTATTATAATTCTTACCACACCCTACTGTCGTTTTCTCTTTACTTAATTGTCCTCAGTCCTCACTGGACTGCAACCTGCTTTGCTGCAGAGATGGTGCCCTGTTCACTACAGTACTTCCAACCTTCAGTCATTTATTCCGCAGTTTCGTAAGAAGGGTCTTCATACGTGCAGAGCTGTCTAAGAACGGGGGCTACAGCGGTTAGCAAGACAGGTGAAGTCTCTGTTCTGATGGTGCTCAACCATGGTTG